AAAAAAATATAATTAGATATTAAAAAATTATAAATTAACTAAATGACAATTAAAATTAATAATCTTAACAAACACCTTTAATTGCACTCAGCAGGACCCTGATTGGTAGTCAAGAACTCAAACTTCCGTAATTGGATAGAGGGAAAATCACGGAACCAATATATGCTCGCCAATTGGAAAGAGACGTTTCTCTTTCGGCGTGATGTTCTTTATGCATTAGGCACCATAACACCACCGAACAAAGATAAGTTTTGTTTTCTGGGATGTTTCGAGAACCTTGTGAAAGGGAAATCGCGTTCTTCCTCTTGCTTCGGATTCATTCATCTTGTTAGATCCTAGGTTGATCTCTGTGTCCCAGGTCAGCACGTTTTCTCAGTTCATTACATTGGATATTTTTTCACTTCATTTTCAGTTAAAGTTTCGTTCTTTGTCTTAGTCTCTCGGAGTTAATTTCTAGATCCGTTGGGGGGGGCTTCGTTTTGGAGGTTGGATTGTGTTAGTCAGGTAAAGATTTCATCTTGATGATACCCACCGGAGAAAATTTGATTGCAGCTTGATGGGTCTTTTTCTTTATGCATATATCTTTGAATGCTTTCTCGGGTTTAGGCAGAAAGTCCTTTCCTTTTTCTGTTGAAAATTTGGGGCTTTTGTGTCGGTTGATTGATTTTAGCTAGCCTGCAGTAGAGTAGAGGGTATTGATCTATTATGGATTCAACGTTCAATAGATTCCCTTATTCAGAAAATGGTTTCGAATTTGGTGATGGGGTTATTTTTTCGGATCCAAATGGGTACCAAAATGTGGAGATTTCAAATGTTTTTGAATCCAATGACCAATCTTTAGGACTGAGTTCCTCGGAAGCCCCAGTTGTTCCTGAATCAGAGTATTTAAGTTCTAGCAATTTAGCTTCTTTCCCGAGCATGGAAAAAGAGGGGGATTCTAGCTTTCTCTGTGACGACAGCGACTTTTCAGACACTGTCCTCAAGTACATAAGCCAGATGCTCATGGAAGAGGACATGGAAGAGAAGCCCTGTATGTTTCATGATGCATTAGCTCTTCAAGCTGCAGAGAAATCTCTCTATGAAGTTCTTGGTGAGAATTACCCTCCTATTGATCAAACCCAAACCCCTTTCTGTGGTTACCAAGATGCTGAGAGCCCTGATAATTGTTCTTCGGGTATCTATAGTGATCAGAATAGCTATGGCAGTTCCAGTGCCAGCACTAGCAGCCCGATTGATCTCCCATGGAATGTTGATTTTTTGGAAAATAGCAATAGACCATCTTTCTTGAAAACACCTATTCCTCCAAACTTTGTTTTTCAGTCTACTCCAAATTCTAACTTGCCATCATCTCTCAGCTCTCAAAATAATTTCTCTAGCAATGGTAATCGTGTGTTAGGCTCTTCTGTTAGTGAGCTTGTGATTCCAAATTTTTTTAGCGAGAGTGAATTGGCCTTGCAATTCAACAAAGGAGTAGAGGAAGCTAGTAAGTTTCTTCCTAAAGCTAATCTTCTGACTATTGCTGTGGAGAACATTGCATCAGCACCAGAGATGAAGGAAAAGACAATCAAGACAGCTGTTAAGGCAGAGCAAGATGATAGGGAGCATTCACCTACTCGCTTGACAGTAAAGAAGAATCACGAGAGAGAAGATGAAGAGTTAGAGGAATGGAGGAGCAAAAAACAGTCAGCAGTTTGTGTGGACGAGAATGAGCTGTTAGAAATGTTTGATAAGTTAGAAATTTGTGGTGGCAGAAAAGACCAGCATCCTTCATGCATTCTTGATCAGCCTTTGCAGAATGGGCAAAGTAAGACATTGCAACAGAAAGAGCAAACAAATGGATCTAATGGTGGAAAGACTCGTGGCAAGAAACAACAGGAAAATAAGAAGGAAGTAGTTGATTTGAGGACCCTGCTGATTGTATGTGCACAAGCTGTCTCATCTAATGATATCAAGACTGCTAATGAGCAACTGAAGCAGATCAGGCAGCACTCTTTACAGTTTGGTGATGGGTCACAGAGATTAGCTCATATATTTGCTGATGCCCTTGAAGCACGCATGGCTGGAACTGGAACTCAGATCTATACTGCTTTGAGTTCCAAAAGAAAATCAGCTGCTGATATACTGAAATCTTATCAACTATACATTTCAGCCTGTCCTTTCCTGAAGTCTGCAATTATCTTTGCAAACCACAGCATTTTGGAGTTGATAAAGGAAAAAAAAGTAACAACGCTCCATGTTATTGACTTTGGTATTTTCTATGGATTTAAGTGGACTGGTCTCATTGTGCGCCTGTTAGGGTTACCTGGAGGTCCTCCCAAACTACGTATTACAGGGATAGACTTTCCTCAACGTGGCTTCCGTCCAGCAGAAGCAGTCCAGAATACAGGGCGCCGCTTGGCAAGGTACTGTGAGAAGCTTAATGTTCCATTTGAGTACAATGCTATTGCACAGAAGTGGGAGACTATAAGAATTGAGGATCTCAAGATTAGGCCCAATGAGAGTGTCGTTGTTAATTCACTATACCGGTTTAAGAACCTACTTGATGAGACAGTTGTTGTGAACAATCCAAGGGATACGGTTCTGAAGTTGATTAGGAGGATAAATCCAGATATGTTTGTCCATTCCATTGTCAATGGAACCTACAATGCTCCTTTCTTTGTCACGCGGTTCAAGGAGGTACTCTTTCATTACTCTGGACTCTTCGATGTATGTGATGCAAATATTCCCCGAGAAGATGAAGTAAGGTTGATGTTTGAGAAAGAGATCTTCGGGCGGGAAGTAATGAATGTTGTGGCCTGTGAGGGCACTGAAAGAATAGAGAGACCTGAGACGTACAAGCTGTGGCAGGTTAGGACCATGAGGGCGGGGTTCGTGCAGCGTCCTCTGGACCTTAAACTGTTGAATAGATTGAAATGCAAGGCCAAGGAACGGTACCACAGTGACTTTATGGTGGAAGGGGATGGCCAATGGATGCTACAGGGATGGAAGGGTCGGATTCTTTTTGCATCCTCTATATGGCTACCTGCATAGGAGTGGTGGTAGCCAGGAACTTGACATCAGGGATTCAAGTCTTCTATC